CGCAAGGCGCGTCAAGGTTCTTCGAACCATCGCCCCAGCGCCTACCAGTCTGGTTCGTCGCGGGGAAATGACACCACTCAGTAGGCGTGGGGCGACCTACTGGGGAAAATTTCTGTTGAGCCTCAGGGAGGCTTAGTCAACAGGGCCTAGCCCCGAAAAATCTCCGTGCTCTTGAACACGGAACATGTATGCAAGCCGGGCTTGCTGGTCGTGGTGGCGACCGTAAATGGCTTCGAGGAGCCATGAAAATCCTCATCGATTCCGAATTGTAAGGCATTTATGCTCGACGCTCCACGATGGAAGAAAATCAGCTGTATTCTGAGGCGCTGAAAGCGCGGTTGGGTGGCATCGTCACTGTTCGCCTAGCGATGGGGACACGTGTCACGGTACCGAAGGTCCCTGTGGACCTTGGAATCAAGTTCATTGACTTTGATAGCGTGGAACGCTGTCTAGTCTTAAACTTGGATGCAAGGTATGACCTCATCCTAGGAATGGCATGGTTTGAGCACCATGAGCCATAGATTGATTGGAGGTCAAAGACCTTGGGCGCTACGCGCACGTCTTCTCGTGAAGCTTTGGCGAATCATGAACCCATCTCTGCTAAGAGACAAAAGCGCTATTGGCGAGAGCACTGGAACGAGACGGTCAACGTGCTAGACATTTGGATTGTCCGAGTTGGTAGACACCAACGGTGTTTTTGACAGGAGTCCCGAGCGTGGAGTGGCACGTAACCTATTGAGCGATGCTCAAGTTTCGGAGCAGTCGCTGAATGTCATGCGTGGCATGGTCGGCCGAGGGCCGAGGCAGCGAGGGTGAGGCCCTCGTAATGCACGTAAAGTGGCACGTAAACCATTGAGCGCTGCTCGAGTATCAAAGCAGTCATCGAGGGCGAGGCCCCCGTGATGCACGTGAAGTGGCACGTAAACCACTGAGTGCTGCTCGAGTATCAAAGCAGTCGCTGCATGTCATGTGTGACATAGTCGGCCAACCGCCGAGGCATCGAGGGCGAGGCCCCCGTGATGCACGTGAAGTGGCACGTAAACCACTGAGCGCTGCTCGAGTATCAAAGCAGTTGCTGCATGTCATGTGTGACATGGTCGGCCAACCGCCGAGACATCGAGGGCGAGGCCCCCGTGATGCATGTGAAGTGGCACGTAAACCACTGAGCGCTGCGCGAGTATCAAAGCAGTCACTGCATGTCATGCGTGACATGGTCGGACAGAGCCCGAGGCATCTTGGGCACGGCTTTCAGGTGCGCGTGGAGTTGTACGTAAACCACTGAGCACTATTCTCGTTGCAAAGCAGTCGCTGCATGCTATTGATGGCGTAGTCGGACAGAGTCAGAGGCATCTCGGGCACGACCCTTCAGATGCGCGAGGAGTGGCATGTTATTCACTGGACGAAGACTGCGGGATCAGCAGTTCTTCGTCGGATGTTGTAGCTAACATCGGAGCTCCAAAAGAGCGGGAAGTGAGGGTGACACTGAACGACGCGGAGT